AGCTGAATTATATTGACTGCTCTTCCTCTTAGAATAAAGATGATGTAGGCCAGGCACGGTGGCTCAAGCCTGTAATCTCAGCACTTTGGGAAGCTAAGACAGGAGGATTATTTGTGCTCAGGAATTCAAGACCAGCCTGGGCAACATACAGAGAGCCTTTCTCTACAAAAAAAAATTTAAAAATTAGCCAGGCATGGTGGCCTGCACCTATAGTCCTAGCTACTCAGGAGGCTGAGGTGGAAGGATCACTGCGGCCCAGGAGGCCAAGGCTGTCGTAAGCTCTGATTGTGCCATGTGCATTTCAGCCTGGGTGACAGTGCGAGACTCTGTGTCAAAAAAAAAAAAAGACGATGTGATTTGCATGTATCTTCAATATTCTTCCAATTGGGCATCACTTTTACAGTATTCTTTTACATTCTGTTTTCCCAATTGAGACTTTATCTTCACTATAAAATGTATTATTGACCCTGAACATGAGAGAGAGGGAAGAGAAAGGAAGAAGAAGCTCTCCCCCCGTAAGGACTCCCCCAGCTGGCAGAGCGGTTCACTAGGCCTCCCCCGACCCCGCCCCTGGTGGGAAAGTCATAAACCCAACTGGGTAAAAAGGTCTATCTTAAGGGAGTAAGTCAAAGACCGCTAGCATTTCCAAATACTCTGCCAAATGGTTAATTATAATCAGAAAGAAGTGTTCTTCACCACTTAATACAAAATTAAGCACCTTGTCTCCCAGAGAAGAGTCTTGTAGTATAAAACAGCACCCAACTGGCCAGGTGCAGGGGCTCACATTGGTAATCCCAGCACTTTAGGAGGCCGAGGTGAGCAAATCACATGAGGTCAGAAGTTCGAGACTAGCCTGGACAACAGAGTGAAACCCTGTTTCTGCATAAAAATACAAAAATTAGGTGGATGTGGTAGTGTATGCCTGTAGTTCCAGCTACTTGAGAGGCTGAGGTGGGAAGATCGCTTGAGCCTGGGAGGCCGAGGCTGCAGTGAGCCAAGATCATACCACCGCACGAGGTATAAACAACACAAATCTCATGACAGACTATCTCCACCTAGTTCCTCATGGACCATGTATTTGGTCTTCATAAGATACCGCATGAGATGCAAATCTAATGTTAAAAAATATTTTTTTTATAATGCTATTTGCCTGACTAGAGACAACACACAGGATATCTTATTCTGGTTTCTGATTTCTCTTTTATAGGAAATCTTTTCGTGCCATCTGTAGAACAATAAAGGAAGCCAAATGGAGTCTCTGTGCCTCCCTCTCTGGATCCAGGCAGTAATGCCACTACCATGTTAAGGAACCGTTTCTGATTTAGAAGGGCCTAGATATGTAAGCTCATGAAGCCAAACATCCAAAAGCAAATCTCAAGATCAAACACATCCAGAACTATGACTGCACTTTCCAATTTGCCCTTGGAGTGGGAATACTTCTGTCATCTGTATAAAGTTTAAAAAGAAAATGCCCGTTAAGAAGGAGAAGGTAAGAGTAAGCAAATCATCTTTGCACATCTGAAAATCTTCCTGTTTTGAAAACTTGAAACAATTGGAAATTCAGCTGGCCAGAAAGATCTGAGTTTAGACTCACTTCAAAGCAACCCAGTGAACACTGGCATTGTTTTCTGGTGGCTCCCCTTGCTCCTTCTGCCCCTCCTCTGTCAGGATAAGAACTTCAGGCTGGGCCAAGAGCAGAAAATCAAACACCGCATGTTCTCACTCATAGGCAGGTGTTGAACAATGAGAACACATGGACACAGGGAGAGGAGCACTACACACTGGGGTCTGTTGGGGGGAAATGGGGGAGGGACAATGAGGGGTGGGGAGTTGGGGAGAGATAGCATGGGGAGAAATGCCAGATATAGGTGAAGGGGAGGAAGGCAGCAAATCACACTGCCATGGGTGTACCTATGCAACAATCTTGCATGTTCTTCACATGTACCCAAAACCTAAAATGCAATTAAAAAAATAATAATTAAATTAAATTAAATTTAAAAAAAATAACTTCAGGCTGGACATGGTGGTTCATGCCTACAATCCCAGCCCTTTAAAAGGCTGAAGTGGGTGGATTGCTAGAGCTCAACAGCTCAAGACCAGCCTGGGCAACATGGCAAATATCCCATCTCTACAAAAAAAATAGAAAAATTAGCCAGGCATGGTGGCACACGCCTATAGTTCCAGCTACTCAGGAAGCTGAGGTGTGGGGGATCACTTGAATCCAGGAGGACGAGGCCGCAGTGAGCCGCGATCATACCATTGCACTCCAGCCCAGCAAGACCCTGTCCCAAAATAAAATTTAGTGGACGAGTGCCATCACTCATGCCTATAATCACAGCACTTTGGGAAGCCAATGTAGGTGGATCACCTGAGATGGGGAGTTCGAGACAAGCCTGACCAACATGGTGAACCCCAACATTGTGAACCCCATCTCTACTAAAAATACAAAAATTAGCCAGGCATGGTGGCACATGCCTGTAATCCCAGGTACTTGGGAGGCTGAGGCAGGAGAGCTTGAACCCAGGAGGCAGAGGATGCAGTGAGCCGAGACTGTGCCACTGCATTCCAGACTGGGCAACAAGAGGGAAACTCTGTCTCAAAAAAATAATAATAAATAAATAGATAGATAGATAGGTAGATAGATAGACAGATAGATAGATAGATAAAGCAAGCGATAGTTTGGTGACAATGTCTGTCTGTTTAGGTAATTTCTCATCCAGGTGCTGACTTGTGCTAACTTCTCTCTTCAGTGATGAGAGTCAATCTTCCATGGTTTTGCAAAAAAGTCTCTTTTTTGGGGTGAGTAGGAAGAACAGGGTCTTGTTCTGTCTCCCAGGCTGTAGTGCAGTGATATGATCATGGCTTTTCGCAGCCTCGTCCTCCCAGGCTCAAATGTTCTTCCTGTCTCCATCCTCAGCCTCCTGAGTAGCTGGGACCACAGATGTGTGCCACCACACCCAGCTAATTTTTTAATTTTTATTAGGGATGGGGGGTTCTCACTATGCTGCCCTGGCTGGTCTTGAACCACTGGCCTCAAGTGATCCTCCCACCTCAGCCTCCGAAAGTGCTGGGATTACAGGCGTGAGCCACTGCGCCCAGCCAAAAGCCTATTCTTGCAGCTGTTGATTCCCAAATGTCTTCAGCTCAAAATAATGTTTAGGATCTTGTAACATGTTCTGGAGACCTTCAGATGAATAAATGAATGAATGAATGAATGAACAAATGAAAGCACCAGTGAACCTTCAGCCCACCCCATCATTAGAAGGCGGAGGTGAGCAGCACAGATGAAAACCACAGCCCTCGGAATCTCCTCCCTGCTGCACTCATGCAGGGTCATCTCCTGAACGAATCTGAAGGCCTCAACCCCAGCAGCAAGGAGATGGGAAGCATAGGACGAAGACATATCTGAGCTAAGAGCCTTGAGTGGTGAGGAGAAGAAAAAAGGAGAGGAGAAAGTGCAATTGAGTAGATACCTCCCAGACACTAGCAAAAAATGGTGCGAGGCCTGGAACCTGGGAAGAGGTGGAGTGAATCACTGCACCTGCCTGGCTATGAATGCACATGTGGGGTTTAATCACTCAAGAGGGGGATCAAGTGTGCACCTTGGGGCCAGGCGTGGTGGCTCACACCTATAATCTCAGCACTTTGAGAGGCCAAGTCAGGCAGATCACCTGAGGTCAGGAGTTCAAGACTAGCCTGGCCAACATAGTGAAACCCCGTCTCTGCTAAAGATGAAAATTAGCCAGGGGTGGTGGCACATGCCTGTAATCCTAGCTACTTGGGAGGCTGACGCAGGAGTTTAAGACCACCCTGGCCAACATGGTGAAACTCTGTCTCTACTAAAAATACAGAATTTAGTTGGGTGTGGTGACGGACACCTGTAATCCCAGCTATTTGGGAGGCTGAGGCAGGAGAATCACTTCAACCTGAGAGGCAAAGGTTACAGTGAGCTGAGATGCCACCACCACACTCCACCTTGGACAACAAAGCAAAAGTCCATCTCAAAAAAAAAAAAGGGTACATCTTGGGCACCAGAAAACCTATGGTGCTAGGCTGGGCAAGGTGGCTCACACCTGTAATCCCAGCACTTTGGGAGGCTGAGGCTGACAAATTACTAGATCAAGAGATCAAGACAGTCCTGGCCAACATGGCGAAACTCCAGCTCTGCTAAAAACACAAAAATTAGCTGGGCATGGTGGCGCACACCTGTAATCCCAGCTACTCGGGAGGCTGAGGCAGGAGAATAGCTTGAACCTGGGAGGCGGAGGTTGCAGTGAGCCAAGATTGTGCCACTGCACTCCAGCCTGGGTGACAGAGTAAGACTGTCTAAAAAAAAAAAAAAAAAAAAAGCAATGATGCTAGAGAGAAAAAGAAGCCAGGTATAGTGGCTCACTCCTGTAATCCCAGCACTTTGGGAGGCCAAGACAAGAGGATTGGTTGAGTCCAGGAGTTCAAGACTAGTCTGGACAACATAGCAAGACCCCATCTCTACAAAAAATGTAAAAATTAGCCAAGTGTGGTGGTGCCTGTAGTCCCAGCTACCCAGGCGGCTAAGACAAAAGGACTGCCTAAACCCAGAAGTTTGAGGCTGCAGTGAGCCATCATCATGCCACAGTGCTCTAGCCTGGGCAACAGAGAGAGACTCTGTCTCAAAAAAAAGAGAGAGAAATAAAAAAGAATCTCAAAATTGGGATTCATTATGAAAATTGAAATATTCTTATTTTATTTTATTTTATTTTATTTTATTTTTTTTGAGACGGAGTTTCACTCTTGTTACCCAGGCTGGAGTGCAATGGCGCGATCTCGGCTCACTGCAACCTCCGCCTCCTGGATTCAGGCAATTCTCCTGCCTCAGCCTCCTGAGTAGCTGGGATTACAGGCACGCACCACCATGCCCAGCTAATTTTTCGTAGTTTTTAGTAGAGACGGGGTTTCACCATGTTGACCAGGACGGTCTCGATCTCTTGACCTCGGGATCCACCCGCCTCGGCCTCCCAAAGTGCTGGGATTACAGGCTTGAGCCACCGCGCCCGGCATATTCTTATTTTATTTTACAGGGGAGGAAAACTGTCTCTTCCTCACACATGGCTAAGGTTCATGGCTAAGACCCCCATAACAAAAGACAGATTAGCAAGAGAAAAGCATACAAATTGATTTAACATGAGTTTTACATGGCACAAGAGTCTTCAGAAATGAAGACCCGGCCAGGTGTGGTGGTGCATGCCTGTAGCCCCCGCTACTCAGGAAGCTGAGACATGAGAATCGCTGGAAACCAGAAATCAGAGATTGCAGTGAGCCAAGCTCAAGCCACTGCACTCCAGCCTGGGCAACAAAGGAAGACTCTGTCTCAAAAAAAAAAAAGAAAGAAAAGAAAAGAAAAAAAAGAAATGAAGACCCAAAGAAACAGTCAACGTGAGTGTTTGTTATAGTAAGTTTGAAGAAGAGTGGATAGTTGCGTAGAAATATGAGCAGGCAAAAAGAGAATGATCTAATGGTAATAAACTGGGGAAAGCTTGGCCAGGCCTGTTTGTTCTGATTCTTCCCTGTGACTCTGTGTCTGAAGAGATAACAATGTCCCTTTCCTCCTGGCGTAGGGAGGGCATCTCTCACATGAGGGTCTTACACCCTGCTTCAGCTGAGAAGAACAGGGAAAGGTCAGGGAGAGCTTTCTGTTTCTGCTGCTTTCTCAGTTGAGAAAGCTTAAAATATTCAGTATGCCAAGGTGCCATATTTTAGGGTAATGTGTCCTAAACCTTATCAATTGCTTTATTTTTAATTTATTTGAGAGAGTCTTGCACTGTTGCCCAGGCTGGAGTGCAGTGGTGCAATCACAGCTCACTGCAGCCTTGACCTCCCAGGCTGAAGTGATCCTCCCACCTCAGCCTCCTGAGCAGGTGGGACCACAGGTGCAAGCCACCACATCTGGCTAATTTTTTAAACATTTTTTGTAGAAGGGGTGGGGTCAAAAGAAAAAAAATTTTTTTTTGTAGAGACACGGTCTCACCACATTGCCCAAGCTGGTCTCAAACTCCTGGGTTCAAGCAATCCTTCTGCCTCGAGCTTTCAAAGTGTTAGGATTACAGATGTGAGCCACCCTGCCTGGCCAGTCCATCAATTGCTTTATGTTGTGTTTATATATGTGGGATGTCACCCTTTTGGCAGGTAGGGCCTGTAAAGGACTAAGTCATTCTACAATCACACGTATTGGCAGAAACAGTTTTTGCACCTCTGGAAATCTACATAGAGGAGCACGTGAAATGTCACTGTAAAGAGGCAGATTTTGTGATTAGTTTATAGAAACTGTCTCATATCTCCTAGTAGCACCTTGGCTACTTGTGGGTCACATGTGATTAAAGATTTGCTCTGAGTCCTTGTGTAATTAGCTCTGTGTGCATGTGTATCCATGTAAGCGTTTGGAAAAGCATGTCTATGCAAGATATGGGTGAGTAAAGGATCCTAAGTGGGATCCTAATCCCAAAAATGTTGGCTCAAAAGTGAGACAGATTGAAACAATCTATAAAATGAATAAGAAACAGAAAGGAAATTGATTCAGAAGAGGAAAAGGGCCAACATTATTGAAAAGGCACAAATGCCACAAATTGAAAATAGATGTGCACCACCAGTTATAGCTGTTTGTCACGCTGCTGTGATGTTTAAAAATTACCAACTCTATAACACAATTCAATACCGCGTTTAATAACCTGAGTGGGTTTAGACATTCACCATTCACATGTGAAAGAAGTTTAAGTCAGGCTGAAGAAAAAACTTACTGATGAATATAAAGAGTTTCTGGTTTATAGACATAATTTGTAATCTTTTAATTAACCTGAACTTTTATAAAATGGCATCTACCCTTTAAACAGAAGCAAAATCTCAGGGAAATGATCCCCAATTTACCATTTCTCATTAATAGGAAGAAGTTAATCCTACTTTCTAAAAATCTTTCACTTTGATTGACTTTGCCAATGTAAAAATGGAGAAATGCAGTGTGATGTTTTAAATCTCATAGATAGATTTAGTATGAAATGGTACAAGAAAATGGAAGAGGCATGTAGATCGTAGCTGATTTCCCCCTGGAATGTGTTTCCTTGAAGGGTTAGGCACTTTTGCAAATCTCCTGCACTTGTATAATGGTTTACTCCTTTTCAAAGGGCTTTTACATTTCTGATCCTTGTTGATCCCCATAACAACTTTGCACGATGTGTGAGTATTAAGGATGAGGAGAGTGAGCTACAGAGATGTTGTGTGGTTTAATCAAGGTGTCACAGCCAGTAACAGCCCCACAACAAGTAATTCCTTTTTTTTTTTTTTTAACATGAGCACATGAGCTGTTTATTCTGTTTTTGTTTGTTTGTTTGTTTGTTTGTTTTGTTTTTTTTGGGGGGACGGAGTTTCACTCGTTACCCAGGCTGGAGTGCAATGGCATGATCTCGGCTCACTGCAACCTCCGCCTCCTGGGTTCAGGCAATTCTCCTGCCTCAGCCTCCTGAGTACCTGGGATTACAGGCACGCGTCACCACGCCCAGCTAATTTTTTGTATTTTTAGTAGAGACGGGGTTTCACCGTTTTGACCAGGATGGTCTCGATCTCTTGACCTCGTGATCCACCCGCCTCGGCCTCCCAAAGTGCTGGGATTACAGGCTTGAGCCACCGTGCCCGGCAGCAAGTAATTCCTATTCTCCTTCCAGTAGTCATAATGCCTCCCTAAAATAAGACAAAAAGTATCTGGACATCCCTCTCCAAGAACTGTGGAACTACGGAGCCTTCCATCGTATTGTGTTACAGTCAGATTACACAAGGGGCATTTCCTGTTAGAGGGTACCATGAAGTCACCCAGGTTGTGCATGTTCATTCTGATCAGTTGGTGCCTGGGTCATGATAAATATCTGAATATCATCTGTGATTACATGTACAGAGGAAAAGGCCCTGAATGGTATTTGTTTTTATTAAGAATAATGCAGTCATCTGGCCAGGTGCGGTGGCTCATGCCTGTAGTCCTAGAGTTTTGGGAAGCCAAGGTGGGTGGATCACTTGAGATCAGGAGTTCAAGACCAGCCTGGTCAACATGGTGAAACCCCATCTCTACTAAAAAAAAAAAAGAAAAAATAATATATATATATATATATATATATATATATTAGCCAGGTGTAGTGGCAGGCACCTGTAATCCCAGCTACTCAAGAGGCTGAGGCAGGAGAATTGCTTGAACCCAGGAGGCAGAGATTGCAATGAGCCGAGATCGCACCACTGCACTACAGCCTGGGTGATAGAGTGAGACTTGGTCTCAAGAAAAAAAAAAAAGAATAATGCAGTCATCACTGCTAATGTTGAGTGCTTGTTATGCATAAGGCAGCTCACTGAGCATGCCAAGTGGATAATCTCATTTAATTCTTACAGCTGCTCTAGACAGTCAATACTCTTAGCTTCAACTTCACCGATTAAAAAAAAAAAAAAAAACCTAGACCCAGAGAAGCTGGGTGCAGTGGCTCATGCCTGTAATTCCAGCACTTTGGGAAGCCGAAGCAGGAGGATTGCTTAAGCCTAGGAATTTGAGACCAGCCTGGACAACACAGTGAGACCCCATCTCTACAAAACATAAAAAATTAGCCAGGCATGGTGGTGCATCTCCACTCCTGGAGAACTGAGGTGGGAGGACCACTTGAGCCCAGGAGGTTGAGGCTGCAGTGAGCCATGATCTCACCATTGCACTCTGGCCTGAGCAACAGAGTGAGACCCTGTCTCTAAAAAAAGCAAGAAAACCTAGACCCAGAGAAATTAAGTAACTTGTCCAAGGATATGCAGATAATAGGATGAGCGGCCAGGACTTGAACTTGGCAGTCAAATTCCAGGACTTGTGCTTCTGATCGTTATGATCACCTGCCATTCATTGGCAGGGATTTACTAAGCCTGTTCTGATCCCATCTATGTATAATGTGAAATTAAAGAGAAAATATAGCTAAAGCCCAGTCTCTCCTTTGTTAATCAGCATATAAAAAGTACTCTGGGGCCGGGCGCGGTGGCTCAAGCCTGTAATCCCAGCACTTTGGGAGGCCGAGGCGGGTGGATCACGAGGTCAAGAGATCAAGACCATCCTGGTCAACACGGTGAAACCCCGTCTCTACTAAAAATACAAAAAAAAAATTAGCTGGGCATGGTGGCGCGTGCCTGTAGTCCCAGCTACTCAGGAGGCTGAGGCAGGAGAATTGCCTGAACCCAGGAGGCGGAGGTTGCGGTGAGCTGTGATCGCGCCATTGCACTCCAGCCTGGGTAACAAGAGCGAAACTCCGTCCCAAAAAAAAAAAAAAAAAAAAAAAAAAAA